CTCTCTCGCTGTGTCTCTCTCTGTCAAATAAATAAAATCTTTTAAAAAAAAGCAAAACAGATGAAGCAAATAACCATCAGTAGTCTTGACATCAACATGAGCTTTAATCATGGTCTGCCATTTTTTGACCATGGAGCACATTTTGTCACAGGTAAGATCCATGCCATGGAAATTAGTCAGGCTTTTTGCCCTGAACATCCTTAGTAATTAGCTTGAATTTGCTCAATGCAGCTTCATCATTCTGCAGGTCAGCAAGGCTCACTTCAAAATCACGACCCTTGAGGCCATCAGATGCGATTTTGGTTCCTTGAGTTCTTGTGACTAATGTTTTTCCAGTGTGTTTTATATTGAACATAGCTGGTGCTTTCACATCATACCAGTCTTTCTTAGAAAATGTATCAACTGCTTTCTTCTTGGCTCCCTTATTGCTACCTTTCGTAAAGCGCTTGTTCTTACCAACTGCCAGGCACTGCTCAGGGAGCCAAAAGGGCTAAACATGGCACTTCTGAATAACCCATCAGTCAAAGAAGAAATCACAAGGTATATTAGAAAATATTTCTAACCAAATGATGATGAAAACACAATATATCCACATTTGTGGATGCAGCTAAAGTGATGCTTACAGGGAAATTTATTATAGCATAAATATTTTATCTTAAAAAGAATTTTTAAAAACCAGTAATTAAATTTCCACAGTAGGAAGCTAGATAAAGAAGAGCAAATTATACCCAAAGAAAGTAGAAGAAAATAAATAACAAAGGTAAGAGCAGAAATCAATAAAATAGAAAATAGACAATTAGAAAAAATTAGCAAAGCCAAAATTGATTATCTGAAAGGTTTATTAAAAGTTATAAATCTCTAGGAAGATTGACAAAGAAAGAATAGAGAAAATATAAATCACCAGTACCAGCAATGAAAGAAGCAACATCACTACAGTTTCTAAAAGATTAATAAATCACTATCAAGGACAAATTTAGGATATCAAATAATTATGTTTTATACCTGAAACTAATATGTTATATGTCAATTATACCTCAATTTTAGAATGTTTTTAATTAAAGAACAAATTTAGGCTAATAAATTTGACAATTTAAGTGGACTGATCCCTTAAAAAACCTATAAAAATCACAAAAGATGAAATAGAAAATTTGAATAGTCTTGTATCTCTTGTATAAATTAAATTCTATCAAATATTCAGAGGAAAACATAAATCTTTCAAAAACAGGGCAGGAAACATTTCTCAAATTGTTTTTTATGAGAACAGCATGGCCCTGATACCAAAATCTGACAAAGACATTACAAGGAAAGGAAAAGAAAGGAAAGAAAAAAAGCATGGAAACAAGAAAGGAAAATTAAAGACCAATATCCCTTATGAACATAGACACAAAAATCCTTATAAATTGAATCCAGCAAATGGAATTAATCCTGGGAATGCGAGGTTGGCATATTTACCACATTATCACATGAATACAAGGTTGAGTGTAATTCACCACATTGCCAGAACAAGGGAGAAAAATCATATGATCATCCCAATAGATGAAGAAAAAGCATTTGACAAAATTCAACATTCATTCATGATAACAATTCTTAGCAAACAAAGAAGAGAAGGGAACTTCCTCAATCTGAGAAAGGCATCTACTAAACATGTTCAGCTTGGTGGTGAAATAATAAATGCTTTCCCCTCTGAGATTGGAAAGGGAGCAAGAATGTTTGCTCTCACTGTTCCTATTCAGCATTGTTTTGGAGGTTTTCACCCATGCAATAAGGCCAAAAAAAGACATAAAAGACATAAGGATTAGAAATAGTAAAATTGGGGTGCCTGGGTGGCTCAGTAGGTTATGCTGCCTTCAGCTCAGGTCATGACCCCAGGGTCCTGGGATCAAGCCCCACATCAGGCTCCCTGGTCAGTGGGGAGCCTGCTTCTCCCTCTGCCTGCCACCCCCCTGCTTGTACGCTCTCTCTCTTTCTCTGTCAAATAAATAAATTTTTTAAAAAAGGAGTAAAATTGTCTTTGTTCACAGATTGTCTTAATGTTTCATAAGAATCTATATTAACAAGGAATCTATTTTAAAAAGCCTACTATAGCTAATAAGTAAATTTAGCAAGGCCAATATGCAAAAATCAGTTGTATTACTATATAATAGCAGGAAACAGTTGGAAATTAAAGTTTAAAAAAATTCCATTTCCAATAGCAGTCAAAACATAAAAGAGTTAAGAATAAATTTAACAAGATATGCAAAACCTTTACAGTGAAAACCACAAAATGTTGCTGAGGAAAATTAAATAACGAAGTTGATGAAAAGATACACTACATTCATGGTTGGAAAACTCAGTATTATTAAGGTGGCAATTTCTCCCAAAAATAACCTGTTGATTCTGTACAGTGTCGATCAAAATCTCAATTGACTTTTTTTTTTAGATTTTACTATTTATTTATTTGTCAGAGAGAGAGAGAGAGCAAGAGTGTGAACACAAGCAGGGGGAGCAGCAGGCAGAGGGAGAAGCAGGCTTCCCGCTGAGCAAGGAGCCCGATGTGGGACTCAAGTCCCAGGACCCAGGATCATGACCTGAGTCAAAAACAGACAATGAATTGACTGAGCCACCCAGGCGTTCCTCAGTTGACTTACAGAAAACACAAGTTGATTCTGAAATGTATATGGAAATGCAAAGGCCTAGTCTGGTCAAAGTAATTTGAAAAAGAAGAAAGTTTGAGCATTTACGTTATCTGATTTCAAGACTTAAAAATAACTTATAGTAATCAAAATAGTGTGGTATTTTTGTAAAGATAGATATATATATACCAATGGAACAGAATAGAAAACCCAGAAATAAATCCACATATACAAAGTCAATTAATTTTCAACAGAAGGCTAAGGATATAGAAACAGATCAATGCAATAAGATGAAGGGGACAGATCTACCTATATATAGGCCATTAATTGTAGGCAAAGACACCAAGGCAGTTCAATAAGAAAAGGAAAGTCTTTTAATAAATGGTGCTGGAATGCCTGAATAAACACTGATAAAAATGAACCTCTACCCCTACCTCATACCAAGCCCAAAAAGGTTAATTCAGGATGGATCATAGATCTCCACTTGGAGCTAAAATTACTAAGCTTTAAGAAGAAAACATCAGAAAGTACCTTTGTAACAGTGAGGCAGGCAAAGATTTCTTTGACATAAAAATCACTAAACATACAAGAAACAAGTAATAAAACTGGACTTCACCAAAAATAAAACTTCTACTCATTGAAAGACACAAGTAAGAAAATGGAAAGACAGACTACAGATTGGGAGAAAATATTCACAATACATATATCTCACAAAGGACTCCTACAAAAATATATAGTAAAGTACAGTTGACCCTTGAATAACATGGGTTTGAACTGCATGGGATTTTTTTCAATAAATATATGTACAGAGGTATAAATATATTTTCTCTTCCTTCAGATTTACTTAACATTTTCTTTACTCTAGCTTACTTTATTGTAAGAATACAGTATGTAACGCATATATAAAATATGTATAAATTGTGTTGTCAGTAAAGCTTTTGGTCTCTATATGTATATATATGAGAAAAGTGCTTAGCATCGTTTGTTATCAGGGAAATGCAAATTAAAACCATTGTCGAACACCATTTTATATGCACTAGAATAGCTAAAATTAAAAGAGCTGACAAAGGCAAGTGCTGAAAAGGGTATGGAGCAACTAGAACTCTCTTACTTTGCTGGTAGGAATGTAAAATAGTACAATCACTTTGGAAATCTGGCAGCTTCTTGTAAAATTATACATACCTCTGCCCTATGACCCAGCAATTCTACTCCTAATAATTGCCCAAGAGGAATGAAAATATGTCCCAAAAACACTTGTACAAGAATGTTTATAACAACGTATTCATAATACTAAAAAGCTGGAAGCCATCCAAATATCCAACAAAATAATTAAAAGAATGAATAACCAAATTGTGGCATAGTCTATGGTCACAAAAATCAGAGCAATAGTTGCCTAGGGGAGGTAAGAATTGTCTGGAAGGAAAGAGAAGGAAAGTTTCTGGAGCAATAGAAATGTTACATTATCTTAATTGGGGGTATTGGTTGCCCTACCATAATGGTTACATAAGTATATACATTTGTCAAAACTCATTGAATTGTATACTTAAAATAAATTTCACTGTAGGTAAAATTTTACATCCAAAAAAGAAAGAAGGAGCTTATATAGTTAAAATAGAAATGGTTATTTCTGTGGACAGTACTATATATATTATGTATATATTTGATTACATATATGACATAAAATTGAATGCATTTTTTTTTCAACACACATCTACTGTGCATCTACTATGGGTCAGCCATTGCAATAGTTGCTGGGGTATAAAGATAATTAAGAGAAAGTGGTTGGACTCAGAGAACTCAGCATCTAGCAGGAGCCATAAAAGCACAGGAGATAAGTACCAATGCAAAAATGGATGCTGAGTGCAAAGGAGGGCTGAGGTGATTCTGACTTGTTGGGGTTGAGAGATGGGACCAAAGAGCGAATAAACTCGTAAGGGAAGAGAGGCTTTTGGGTCAAGAGAACCTCATGAACTAAGTAAAGCACAGAAACGTGCCTGTATGACATGTTTGTAGAATCTTAATTGGCCCAATGTGACTACAGTAACAGGAGAGGATACCGTGATGGGAGACAGCGTACTTTAATAATGGGACCAGATCATACAGGGTCGTAAAATGCCATACTACACGGGCAGATTTATAGGCACTAAGGGGCCACTGAAGGCTTTTAGACAAGAATGACATCAATTCTGTTTCTATGTTTTTAAAAAATGTATCCGCTAGTAGTAAAGAATTATTAAAGTTGGGGAGAGATTAGAGGCAGAAGGAAGAGATAGAAAGGGATTTCAAGAATCCAGGGTCATTTATTTAAAATACTTATCCACTAGAATTTTGTGATTAAGTATTTTTATTTGGCTCTTCTTTTTTCTTTTTCTTTAAAATTAACCATAGGAATCCAGAAACATTTTGGACCACAACAGGAATGTTTCCCCAAGAGTTCATTATTTGTTTTCACAAACATGTAAGGATTGAAAGGCTTGTAATCCAAAGTTACTTTGGTAAGCAAATAATACATTAATATTCATCATCTTTTAATTTTCCCATAGGTAGAGGGCACATATATAAACTTTGGCAAAACACTAACTTTTCTTTGCAGCCTGGAATCCAGTTTTATGGCTGGGGTGGGAAAGTGGGGAGTATGGGTTAACTGCCTTGAGCACAGTTAGCTTCTCTAAAATTGCAAATTTGAAACGCTTCCAAAGCGCATAATAATTTCCATGCAATTTACTATGTGAAAATCTTTGGCAAAAAACCCTATTATGAACATAAGAATCCAGCTTGCCAGAACACTAGGTTCTTCAACATCTTTATTCCAGATTCATTTGGCTTGGGGTTCTCTGTCAAATTCTTTCTGAAAATCTGATAACTTTGATTATTTGCATTGGATAATTTTTATTCTTCTATTAATAATGGCATTTTCTGAGGGATTTAGGAGGGGACTCTCCCTTTGGAACATCATTCTAATCCTGTCTTGTGTTTATTTAAGGATAAAGTATTTCAGATAAAATCATGGCAGGAAAGAATACATCCCAGATGAAAAGGCTTTATTGATGAGATTACTTACAAAATTATGGTCTGGGTAAGGGAACAAACCAGGGATGGTGAGAATGCCCTGAAACTGGCCACAGCAATAAGCCATTACCACCCCTGGGATAAGGGATGGAAATTGTGTTACCAGAGCCCAGTGGGAGCTGGAGTCTGTGGCTAAGGGCCTGCCCGGCAGCAGCTGTAATCATGAAGGGACCCAACCACTGTCAAAGACAGGGCACGGAAGCAGGAAGGGAGTGGGGAAAAAACAATGTGATCTCATTTCGCCACTGCCCTCCAGTTTCCTCCCAGTGCCACCCATTGGCCAAATCTGAGCAGAAGCCAGTGGTGCCATCCACAGGGGTCCTCCCCCCAGGGCACAGAACAGAGAAGAATGGTTCTGCGATAGCAGGATCTGGGTTAGGGGTAATGGAGAGAAAACAATACAGAAGGAAGATGCCTGCATTCTGGTTAAGTCTCTACTGTCATGAATTGTAGAGGTTCTGGAGTCAGACCCACCTAAAGTTTGAATTCCACTTCTGGCCCTTACTAGCTCTGTATCATTGAACACTTTGCCTGGCTTCTCTAAGGTGCTGATTTCTCTAAGCCTGTTTCCTCATCAGTAAAGTGGATTAGTAATACTTTTTCTTATAAGATTATAGTCAAGAGTGAATGAGTAAATATGCCTGACTCACAGTAGTTTCTTCATAAAGGTTTATGACCAAGATCAAGATCACTAACAGTATTATTATTATTATTATTATTATTATTATTACCATTACTATTACCAGTACACAAAAAACTGGATGACACCAAATTCAAAAAGACTCTTTGTATTATGTGCTTTGCCAACATTTATAAGATTACAGTGACACAAGACTGCATTTTACCATAGGGCCCTACAGAAAAACAGTATGTGAATGATTTTCAGAACATGTATTTCTGATCCCAGTACTTTGTACAGTCCCACCAGTGCTTGACACTTTCAGACAGAGAAAAAAAAGGAATATAGGGACAGCAACATAAAATCAGGTAGGTAATTAACACTTTATTTATTTTGTTTACTTACAATGTCAGTGAGGACCTTGAGGATTGAAAAGAGCACATCTAAAGAGCCAATTGATTTTGAGCCGTGGATTGAAAGAGGTATGTGCTTTTTCACCAGCACTGTTCTGGGCATGAGAGAGTAGAGAATTGTCCCTGATTCTATATTTCCAATTCGGCTGCATTTTGGTGAAAAAAGATGACTCCTGTGACTCTATTTAGAGCCTAGAAAAACCTAGGTTTCAGTACAAGACTGTTTTTTCACTTACTGGTTATGTAATGTTAGCATGTTAAGACTTAATTTTTCTGAGTTTCAGTATCCTTATCTGAAAAATGGGGACAGTAACCTACCATTTAAGGTTTTTGTGAACGTAGTATCTACCATACTATATATGGTAGACAATAAATATTAGTTTCTTGACTTTCCTTCTTTCCTAATGGTACTATTTAAAGGTCAGCAGCAGAATTGCCTCTAGTTAAACACAACATGTTTTCATGTGTCTGTTTCCTTTCCTTCCCAAAATACCCTGAAAATAATAATAAAGGAATAAAAGGAGGCATAAACCTACAAGGACAAAAACTAAAAACAAACAGAAAACAGGAGACCGAAGAGGCTGTGAGGGGTTCATCTATATTATGGAAGAGAGGACACAGATGGAAGAGAAGTAATTAATGTAGCTGAATGGAGTAGGTTATAACCTAAGTGCCCTCCAAGGAGAATATCAATGTAAAGCAAGCCAGTTTGCCCAACAAAACCCCAGGAAGGTCTAGAATTTGAAGGCAGAAGGTACCATGGAAAGTGCGAGTGAGACACGGACCAGAAAACAAGGGTGATTAGTTGAACATCTATATACAGAGTGTCTGACCCTAGGGTAAGTTCTCCTGTCCCACAAAGCTATATGACTCCTCCTTCCTCCCACAAACCACCTGCAAGGGATAACAAGGGACACTGAATGTTGAGGTCAGAACTCAGGGAGACCAGACATAGTAGAGAAAGTAAGTGAGACGTGGAGCTGAAAACAGGATTTAAGTGGAAGCCTGCTTATTGAATGGTGAGAACTCCTCTGTGCTCTACTGTTTATGACAGCAATCAAGAATACAGCCCCAGCCAGGAGACTAAATATTTTTGGAGAAACCAAATGGCTCCAGAAAAAAGATCTATGGACACTGACGAAGGCTAGCTCATTCTTGGTAGCTCTATAGAAGTCCTAGTCAGTGAGCCTGGCTCATGCACACAGTTTTAAAATGATTTATTTATAAGTAACAAAAGAGAGCCAAAGATCACCAGACATTTGATGAATGCCTCAAACCCTGAATATAATCAAGCCTTTAGCTCTAATTCCAGTATATAGGAAACAGAAGATAGAGGAATAAACGTAATGAAACCATGAAGAGGCAAGATGACAAAATGTGGGACATTCTACAGGAAAACTGACCTGGTCTCTTCAATAAGTCAGTGACATGGGGAAAAATGTGTGTTGGGGAAAGAAAGCAGTTCAAGATTAAAGGAGACTTAATTCTGATTTGAATAAACCAACTATAAAAAGACATTTTGGGGACATTTGGGAATTTAAATGTGGACTGGGTATTATGTGATATTAAAGCATTTTTTAATATTGGTATGATAGTATTATGATTATGTAAGAAAATATCCTTATTATTGAGAGATGGATAATCAAATATTTGGAGGTGAAATGTCATGTTGTCTTATATTTTCTTTAAAATACTTTAGCAAGGGGCACCTGGGTGGGTCAGTCGGTTAAACATCTGCCTTCGGCTCAGGTCATGATCCCAGAGTCCTGGGGTCAAACCCTGTGTCAGGCTCCCTACTTAGCAGGGAGTTTGCTTCTCCCTCCCTCTGCTCCTCCCCCCACTGCTCGTGCTCTCTCTCACTTGCACTCTCTCTCTCTCAAATAAAAACTTTTAAAAAATAAAATACTTTAGCAAAAAAGATTCCATAAATCAAGTATAGTGAAATGTTAGTAATGATAAAATCAAGATGATGGGTATATACAGAAATTATATTGTGTCTTCTTTGATGTGAAATTTTCCAATTTTTCATAACTGAAAAACTAAGCAATGAAAGAAGAGGTTATTATTAACTCCTGGTAGAGGAGGAGTTGTATAGGAAAGAAAATGGGATCATAATTCGATACTTATTTCAGGAGTAAATAACATTTACATAGGCAATAATGTAACTGTCAAGTATTGATTTCAAAATTGAGAGGATGGCAAGAGGGAAAAGTTGGAGGAGGAGAAAGAGGATATTGATCTAAGAAACCTAGTTTCCTCCTACCGTAATATAAAGTCGGTAAAACATTGGGCGCCTGGGAGGCTCAGTTGGCTAAGCGACTGCCTTCAGCTCGGGTCATGATCCTGGAGTCCCGGGATCGAGTCCCACGTTGGGCTCCCTGCTCAGCAGGGAGTCTGCTTCTCCCTCTGACCCTCCCCCATCTCATGCTCTCTCTCTCTCTTTCAAATAAATAAATAAATAAATCTTTTAAAAAATAAATAAAGTCAGTAAAACATTGATAAATCGAGAAAAGGGATATAAACATGTTACAATTCTAGGGGAAAAAAAGCGGAAGGAGTTGAAAGTATTTGCCTCTCAGGAGCAGGACTGAAGGTGAAAGAAAGGATCAAGCAGCAGATTACTATTCATTACCTCAGAGAGAGGTTAGGAAACAGAAAGTCATGCACCATCTTACTTCCCAGAGACTACCTTTTTTGTAGTATGTGCCTTTAAAAATTATGTGCACCAGCTATTCTGATACAAATAAAATTAATTTCTAAATAATGTCAATATTTATCATTATATCAATCAAATATTTCATGTTTCTAAAAGAATGTTTGATATGATTAACTCGTGACCAACTAAGTTAATCTGTTTTAAAATTATATGAATAAAGGCTTTCTAAAGTTGGATAACAAAAAAGATCAATTCACAGGCAGCATAATTCAACATCACAGTAAAAAGTCAGCGTGAGAAACAGAGCTGTAGTCATTACCCATGAGAGTGGTAATAAGACGGCTCCTTTCAGGCCTGTAATAACTGTTAGTGGCTTGATCCTTGAGAGGGATTTCCACATTTTATCAATTCCTTATTTTATATTCTTTTACTCTGATTTACATTTCCTTTTGTATATACTCGCTAGAGATGTTTTAGAGCTCACAGTTTATCTTTCATGCCTTTTACATCAAATATTCCTATTTTGATACTGAATTTTAACCCCCAAACCCTGGTAAGTCTAATCTAACTGTAGTTTACCAGACATCATGTTTTGCTGAGCATAAATTTCAGTAGCTATCCTCATGTATTTTGAACCCTAACTCATTTCTGTTAAATTTGTGTTTTAGATCTAGTCCACAAGGAGGGGCAGCTTCAAAATGAAGAAATTATGGTAAGTCAATATACTTTGTAGAGATAAACATTATCTTTAGTCAGCACAATGTATTTACATTTTAAATCTATCTCCTTAGTCATAAAGTTAATATCCTTGTGATATGTTACAGGTTCTATACCTAATCAACCAAGAGAGAAGGTTATTCTCAATAATACTATAATCTAATAAAGCATGCCTAAAGGCATTTATCTGTCATAGAATAACAGCAAGGATAAAACAATTTACTTACTTGTTTTTATTTTGTTCATTTATTTTGAACATATACTTGCTTTGCTTTCATTCGATTCTGTAGGCCTTTTAGAATAGGAATCAAAAAAGGTTGAGATGCCAGAATCGGATGTTAATTTAAGCATGAAAGGACAAGGGAGATTCACATAAGGGGAACTGGAGCATAGGATCAGCAACAAATAAGCCAAAGAGAGATGAGGTGGAAAGAGAACCAGCATTTTTCGACAACATTCCATTGGGCTTTGCTTGTCAAGTGGAATGAATGGCCGTTGATGAGGAAGCTGCTGCCTCATCAGGAGTTTCTCTGTTCCTGCTAGTTTATCAGGCCCTGGTTTTAGACAAACACAAAAAAATGAAACAACTGAATGTGTGGGCTTTTTTTTTTTTTTAAGGTGGGAGTGTTTGTTTCATTAAGGTTTTTCTAAATGAGGCTTAAAGAGGAACCTTGTCCATTAAGTTTCCTTCTTCACAACTTACTGGGCACTGCTATGAAATCCGTGCTTCAAAAGATTCTGTAGGAAGTTTTTGAATGCTATTAATTATCTTCTCCACCACCCAAATATGCCCAACGACTGGAGAGGCCAGTGGGGGCCAGAAAAATGATTAATTAGACTGAATTTTATCTGCCTGTTTTTCTCCATCTTTACTAATGGGTTATGATTAGTAAGCCTCTGCTAAGTATTTTGTTTCAGGACTCACTGTGAATCAAGGAGCATTCCAACATTATAGAACATATGGAAAATAGTGAGGGAGAGTGGGCAGCTGGAAGTCACCCATGATTTTATTACCCTGCCACAAGACCTTTTATTACACTTATTTTCTTCTAGTTGTCAATGTGCATCACATAGTTTAATAGTAAAAATGAAGAATTTTGTATCTTTTTAAACAATATTATATTACAAGTTCATAATTACAATTTTAAAATGAAATGTATGAAGATAGGCAAATGTTCACTAATTTCACTTTTCCTCCCTCTGTCATTATAAGTAATACTATAGGGGACATCTTATGCATGTTCTCACTACCATGATCTTCACATTTTAAATTACTCTCTAAGATTAAATTTCAAGGAATGGAATTACTGGGTCCATCAGTGTAGACATATTTATACCTGCTTATGTATATTGCCAAATTGCTTTCCAGAGAAATTATATAAATGTAAAAGTATAATAATGTTTCAGGGTAGTATAGTCAGAGGAATCATCAAACAAAGGAAGTCTCCTAACATGAAAAATACTTTAGAAAGACACTTGTCAAAAATTAATCAGAAATGAAAAGTTGCAAAGACACTTGTAAAAAAATTAATCAGAAATGAAAAGTTGCAATTTTTAGTTCCACCTGCTATTTTTCATCAAACCAATGCTGATCCTTGCCTGATGATACTTCAAAGCAGCGGTACTGTTATATGCAGCTGAATATTATATCTTATATATTATTGTATATTTAGGATATCATTTTTGCATCAAACCCTTTCTTCTGCTAACTGCTGTTTAACAAATTAACTAGAATTGCTAAAAGCTTCTATATTGATTTTTCCTTTGCAGACCCAAGATGGCCACGCCACTCATTTGAGATTCATTATTATATCAGCCTTTGATCATTTTGCATCTGTGCATAGTGTTTCTGCAGAGGGACTAGCAGTCTCAAATCTTTCTTAGTAATTATAACAAAATACTCTTGCATGGTTTTTTAACAATATATTTATTTAAACATGAAGTTGTCATTGATATGCCTTATTAAAGGGATTTGTATTAATCTGTTTCAGTTTTTAATTTCTCTTCAACATTTTGTGCAAAGGAATTTGGTTCATTAGTCAGGAGTGATGGCCGCCATGTAGACTATAAGAAAGCTCTCACTTCAATGTACAACTTAATAAAGGAAATGACCATATATGAAAACTTAACTGATAATACATTGTGTCCTCACAGCATCTCACAAGGTGCCCTTCAGATCTCAGTGCGTTAATTTTTTTAGGTTCAGTGCATTCATTTTTTAATTTGTTGATTGATGAAAAGGGCTAAGTGAGCAATATAGACAGTAAATGTATGAGTTCAGAAAAGAAAAAGGACTTATGGGAAGGTTTCATGGAGGCCATGGAACTTGAGCTGGGCCTTGTCCAAAAAATTTTATTTTTTTCTTTTAATTTAATTTTTGCCTTGATTTGAAAATCTCAGAGAAGAATTAGGATAAAAACATAATCTGACTTCCCACAGAGAACCATTATTAATATTAATTGATTTTTTTTCTATATGTTGGGGAGGTAGGGAACAGGATAGGACAGACTGAAGGAAAATACAACTTTTCTGAATATACTTTATATAGCTTGACTTTTGAAAACATAAATAACTAATATAGCCAAAAATTAAAACAAAAAAAGTCCAGAATATTGAAAACAAACAGAAATGCACGAACCTAACTTTATCACAAGTTGACAAACACCCAGGAAACAGTGGCATTAGAACATAGTATTTTGTCTGTGTGGTTCATATTAGTTTCTTGGGGCTGCCATAATAATGTACTATAAACTTGGTGCCTTAAAACAATAGAAATTTGTTGTCTCACGGTTTTAGAGGCTAGAAGTCAGAAATCGAGGTATTAACAGGGTTTGTTCCTACTGGAGGTTCTGAGGGACAGTCTGTCCCATGGCTTTCTCTTAGCTTCTGGAGTGGCTGGCCGTCCTTGGCATTCCTTGGCTTGTGGCACTGTAGCTCGTGTCTGCCTCTGCCTTCATATGGCATTCTCTCTGTGTGTCTTCACATCATCTTCCCTCTGTGCATATCTGTTTCTGTGTATCTCCTCCTCTTCTTATTATCAGTCATATTGAATTAGGGTGCACCCTACTCCAGTATGGCTTCATCATACCTAATTACATCTGTAACAATCATATTTTCAAGTAAGGTCCCATTCACAGGTACCAAAGATTAAGACTTCAACATGTCTTTTTGGAGACATAGTTCAACCCATAACATAATCTTAGTGAAGTATGTTTGTGATAGTTAATTTTATCTGTTACATAGCCTGGGCCACAATGCCCAGATGTTTGTTCAAACATTCTGAATGTTTATGTGTGGGGTATTTTTGGGAGGAGATTAGCATTTAAATTGGTAGACTTTGAGTAAAGCAGATGGCCTTCCATCCCATCAGTTGAAGGCCTTCATAGGACAAAGATTGGCCTTTCCTGGACAAGAAGGAATTCTGCCGGTAGACAGCACTCAGACTTATACAACAATCTCTCCAGCCTGTCAGCCAACCCTACAGATTTTGAACTCGCCAGACTTTGTAATCATACGAGCCAATTTCTTAAAATCAATGTCTCTCAGTCTCTGCCTCTCTCGCATTGTTTTCATATTTGCATATATATGATGGGAGGCCAGGGAGACAGTAGCCATTGCTGCTATCACCTACTACAATTAAACACTCTGTGCTCCTGATGTGATGCAATAGGAAGCACACAGGCCAACCTCTGAAGTCCTTTTGCCAAAATTACTGAGCCTGAATTGAATCAAGTTCTAGAGTTAACTTCCATTTTTCGGGAAATACAGGGATGGAAAAACAAGTAAAATGACACCACAGGGCAGCAAATAGATTAGTAGCCATTTTGTAGCTCACCAAAATGCCCAGATCTGTGCCCTTCCTACACATGGTGAGATAGACTTCCCGGCCTTCTTTGTTTGGGTAGGGCCATGTGACCAAATGTGGGCAATGAGATGAGGGGAAAGTGGTAGCTAGGCCTGCATGAGACCCTTCAAAGCTCTTTTCTTTCTCTGTCACGATGACCAGCAATGATGTAACTACTTCACCAGTCTAGGTCTGGAAGTGAGCCTGACGATAGCAGGGAGCAGACCTCTCAATGTGAGATGGACATACAGAAAAAAAAAAACAAAAACAAAGCTTCATTGTTTTAAGCCAATGAAATTTGGACTATGACCTGGCCTATCCTGACCGATTCACAGACAAGTCTAAAATATAGATTATCCTACAGAACAAGTGACCTGGTTTCTTCAACAAGTCAGTGGCATGAAAAATGGTAATTAATTAAGGAAGGCGTCCACTCTAGATTCAGAAAGACATTAAGAGCCCCAATAGCCACATGCCATGTGGGGATGTTATTTGGATGCTGATTTGACAAAACGACTGAAAATCAGACATTTTAAAGATATTTGGGGAAATATGCTTATGGATTGATTGTTACTGTTCATTTTGCTAGCTGTGTTACTGGCATTAAGCTTAGGTAAGAAAATGCTTGTATTTTTCAGAGATGCATATCGAAGTATATAGGGGTAAAATGCCCTGATATCTGGGATTTGCTTTAAAACATTTAAGCAGATTTTTTAAGGGAAAAGGTGTTAGTTGAAACAAATATGGCAATAAATGATTAGATCTGGGTGGTGGATATATGGGACTTTACTGCACCCAACTCTCTGTGTATGCCTGACAGTCTTCATTATAGAAAAATAAAAATCAGTACTGCTACTGAGGGTATCTTTGTGCAAAAACCTTTGCCTGCCCCTCAAATGATTTCCTTAGAGGAGATTCCCAGAAGGGAATTGGTCAAAGTTAGGAACAGTTTTAAGATTCTTAATACTTCCTGATAAACCACTTACCAAGATTTGTTGCACAGATTTACTCTTAGAAAGGTAGGCTTTAGAAACATGGAGGAGAGTAAGGTATTTCAAGAGCAATGCTGGTGTGATTGAAGATGTGAAGGGGAGTACTCTGTCATCAAACACATTTGCGGAATGATGAATTTTTAAGTCTGACTAGGGCGAAGAATAAGACTAAAACCATACATTACAGTCAGATCATCGAGAGCTTTTAATGCTTTCAAATATTTTCCCTTAACACTGGAGCCAGTTAAGGCTTTTGGAGAAGGAAGGTGACTTAGAGCAATTGTGTTCATGTTCAATAAAATGAAATGCTAAGGATTTTCTTTTGGCCAACTTCCTAAACTGAAATGTCAGTGATTCTTTGTGTAAGAAACAGGGTTAAGGCTCGCAGATTGCTGGAAGGGATCTCCGGGGGTTGTCTGATTGACCTCTTTGGCACAGGCCTAGTAGATTATCTCTAAGCCTTTTTTCTCTGTGTCTGTCTTCTGTGGATGCAGAGAACAAGTTATCAGGGTAGTGCTTGTAATACCACTTTATGCTACTTAAAAACAGCATTCTTTAACCTTCGCTTTCCTGGACTTTAAAAATTCATTTCACCTTATAAAAACCTCTCCAAATTTCAAGCAATAGGTATAATAATATGTGGCTTTATCTTTTTTCTTTTTTCTTCACTGCTGAACCCATCATCTTTTTAAAGTCTCATTTGTCCCCAGTTGGCTTCCTTGAGCCCCCTTCATCCCTCATCTGGATTTATTTCCACCTACCCACTGACTCCTGACTCCCACTGTGCTGTGTGTGCTCTGGGATTGAGACCTTTGAGTTTGCCTCCTCTGCCTGGAGGGCTCTTTCCTTACATATCCGTACAACTAGCTAACTCATGTACTTCAGATCCTTACACCAAATCTCAGTGAGGCCTTCCCTGGCCTCGGGTATCCAAAATTACAGCGTCTCTTCACCCTGGCCATTCCCCACCCACACACAACACTGCAACATAAACACATTCAGTCTTCCTTCCCCCATTGTTTTTCTCCTTTGTTCTGGAACTAGCCACCCTGGGCCCTTTGCTTCAGGGCTTCTGGTACCTTACTTCTCTTTTCACACTACCACTAAAATTCAGCTGAGATTTTCTTCCCTTTAATCATATCCCAAGCATGCTGTGAAAGATGAGGGCAGTGCAGTCTCCTTTCAAGTGTGATTATCTTGGGTAGGGGCTCAATTGACTGAATCGCCTTCGGCTCCCACAACCTTTTAGGGATGGCCCTGCTTATTACTAACTCATATTTTTTCTTCTTTATTATGTATATTGTGTTTATTGTCTCTTTCCCTCATTGGAATGTAAATTCCACAAGGGCAGGGAACATTTGTTTCTTTTGCTTCTGACTGTATCCTCAGGCCTGAGAACAGTGCCTGGCACATAGTAGATTTTCAATCAAAATGTGTTGACTGAATAAATGAACATTGTTCATTTATTTGCATTGTTCTCTATCTCTTTATACTATAACATCCTGGAGGAGTTTTTAATAAAGCTAGCTAATAAAATATACGTTTTTGGATCACTTACTGTGGGCCAGTGCCTACCACCGTGCCTTGTATCAAGTTTTTACTTTTTTGGTTTTTTTATTATATTTTTAAAGATTTTATTTATTTGAGAGAGAGAGCACAAGCGGGAGGGGTAAGGGCAGAGGGAGAGGGAGAAGCAGGGAGCCCAAAAGGACCCCGAGATCATGACCTGAGCTGAAGCAGATGCTTCACCAACTGAGCCACTTTTTTAAAAAAGTAAAAATCTAATGACATTTTAACCATGTATTCAAACAGGGCAAAGAAATATTACACAAATGAAAATTCTTGTGTCTCTCACTCATTTATACAGACTTTTTAAAAAGCATTGCTGTTATGAGCCCTGTCTCAGGAATGCCCCTCCGTGGAGGACATCCTTTGGGGGCGTCACCTTTTAGATGTTGCTCCAACAGCCCTTTGTAGCTGATAGCAAACCTTCTAAAATAACATGTGGCAGTATGCAAAGTTAAACACACACATAGCTTTTGACACAAATTCCATTTCTAGGATTATATTCTAATGAAATAATCAGATAAATGACAAATGAGCAAAGATTGATAACAATGCTTCTTACAGGACAGGAAACTGGAA